GCCGTTAACTCCGTCCGGCTGTGTCCGCGGGCACCGGCTGGAGCCTTCCTCCACGCTGAGCGCCTGCCTTGGCGAGGAAGTCGGGCGCCAGCCCTGCCCGTCCCACGGTAAACGGGTGAAACGGAAATCCCGTTGCAAACATTGGTGATGAAATCGGCACAGCGTCGCACGCCCCTCCAGAAAACTGGTAAGCATCACAACAGCGCGACAGTACACACAAAACGCTGTCGTGGGCCACCAGCTCATCCAGGTCCCTTTCAGCTGCCGGGACAGGGACAAACACACAGGCTGGGGCACGCCTGGCCCGGGAAAGCTCTCAAGACTTTAGGCAGAACCTTGAAATTGTGTAGAAAAACATTGCTCGTAGGATAAATACCTCACCGTAAAGGCACGGCCGACCTACAAGCCTTTGAAAGATTCGTGGTTCAGACGTTTTCAGGAACTCCTTCGGGGTCCCAGCAGCTTGCTTCCGTGCGCCAGTGACCGTTAGGCTGCCCCAGCCCCGGGGCTGCGCGAGCGGCCGATGCCCACCCCACCCCGCGCAGGGGTCGCCTTCCTCCCGCCGCCCTGGGCTGTGCTACCAGCAGCCTGGAATTGGGGTACGATCACTCCAGCTACACTGACTAAAAGCTCGGTCGAATTATGAGCAGACTTCTGATCTCCTCCTGGGCTGGAGGTTCGTCAGCAGGCCGCCCCGTCGGAGTGACGCTGACGTGCTACATAGCACGGTAGAGAGGGAGGACAAAGCTTTGTTCGTGTCCCAGAAGGATACCGGACAGCAAGAGGCGGGTTCCACATTCTTGATAAGCAGCCGACATCATGTGAAGCTCCTGATCTTTTTTGCATAAACTGTATTTTCTTAACAGACTTGAATTGGGTACACGGGGCAAGAATACACACTGAAGTAGAGATAAATCAAAACACAAAAAAGCTACCTGTGAAAATAACCCAATTTTAGCAATGACAGGGATCCCCTGGCATAAATGTGTATCAAAGCAGCCTAACATGGCAAAAGAGGCTGCACATTTAACGTTACACAGCCAGTGCAAAGGCTTCTCCCACATATTTTACGCAGCCATGCTGATAAAAATATTAATGCCATTGAGCAAAAAAGCTTTGTGAAAAAAGCATCCCTGCCTGGTATGGAACACGCTGGTGGGAAGGATGTGGAAGAAGTATAGCGTGCAGTCAGCTGCTGTCGGAACTGCCAAAGAGGCATCCGTCTTCGCCAGAAACCACCCGGCGAGTACAATGAGTAGATTGACTTCGTGGGAGGAAATATCTGACAAAGATGTATGGAATAGAAGACAAAGAACAAAGTCTTTCATTTTGATTGAAATGTGTTTTCCATACTTACTCAGAGTTGGTCTAAGTATTCGGAATGGACTGGAACGATCCAGTAATTTCAATACGGAGTGCCTGAATAGCCCAACACATTTCCAGATGAATAAGAATCATTGGCTCTTTGGCTGCAAGCCAAGAGATTTAACTTGGTGATGAAGGCATCTGATCTGGTGAGGACAAACGAGTTCTGTCTCACAATGCCGTTTGCTGTATTTATGCTGGTTTTCCCGTTTCCCGTGAGTGATTATTTTACATTTACCTATTTAAGATACCGTAGTTTCCCCCTTTTCCCTAAGCCTTGTAATACAGCATAAAAACGATTTTTACAGGAAACACTCAAACCACAGACACGTACAAATTATACTACAAAAGTGCAGTATCATCTGGCAGATACATCTGGCTACTTGAAAGGTACTTTCACAGGTGAAAGTTTCCCGTGAGTGATTATTTTACATTTACCTATTTAAGATACCGTAGTTTCCCCCTTTTCCCTAAGCCTTGTAATACAGCATAAAAACGATTTTTACAGGAAACACTCAAACCACAGACACGTACAAATTATACTACAAAAGTGCAGTATCATCTGGCAGATACATCTGGCTACTTGAAAGGTACTTTCACAGGTGAAAGGCGGTTCAAACTCTTTGAAGCCACTGGAAACCCACAGACAGCAGCGGGTTCGCAGAGCCTGGCTTCCAGCCGGTGCATGCAGGCCCGTCACTTC